CTTTGTTACGAAGTGAGGTAGAAGACAAAGTTTTCGGGAAGTCTACCTTAGCAAAATAGAAATAACAAAAGGAAAGAAAAGAAAAAAAAAAAAAGAATAGCTATTCCACGTTTGGAGTTGCTGGCTTATGGTTTAGAACCCCGCTTCACAAAATAGTATATTGTTTACTCCTTCTCCTTACTTGGCGTCCCGCTATATTACTGGATAGACTCTACTATGGCCTGATCTGGAGACAACGAGGGTAAACTGAGGCGTATTTATAATTAATAGCAAAGAAGATTCAAACTCTCGAAATAGGTATGTTGCAGTGACATCCCAGGAAAACTGAATCTTGGATCTCGTGGCTGCACTCCTTACTATTTATGGCATTGCGGCTGGTGAGAGGGACCCGAATTCTGAAAACTCCTCTGGGAGTATGGCCAAGGCCAACTAGATATCTACAGGCCTGCTCCACCGATTTGTGACGTCACAATCGAAGGCGATCGTTCCTCGGTAGACGCAGCCGACTGATTCATTTATGTAGTACGCAGCGTTTTATTTCAAACTCAAGTCAAGTTAAATTAATTTTTACAACTAATATTTCGAATTTTAGGAATAATAACGTACTATGTTACATCGTAATGATGGATATTTAAATACTAAATACTGTTCTACCGATTTATCAAACAGAAAATAAAAATAAGATTCGAGTGATATTGTAAATATAGCAGAGCTGATTTAAATAAACTGAAACATATCTGAACTTTTATACAGAAATAAAATGGACACAAAATTATTTATAAAAAAATTATACGGTATGTTAATATCAATGAAAATATAACATATGTAATGAACTAAACATGAGATGTTTCATTTTGTAATAAAATGAAAAAATATGTTAAGGCTCTCAGATGATTTTATATTGCTTAAATTATGAAGACTGATTTATACTGCTTGAATACTAAACAAACATATATAGTATTTCATAATAAAATTAATATCAATTCATTAATTCTAATATAATAAAATATTGCTTTATTATATTTTTTCGGTGCAATAATATTGAAGCAAAATGAACTCTCTTTTCTTCATTCCCATAAAGATTTTTCAAGATTCAATCAGAGATCCTAAGATGCTTTTTAATAATAAATACACATGTGGACATTAAGTGAAATACATAAATCTTATTAATACATTAATATATTAAAAGTATATCTGAAGTTTAGTCTACATATTGAAAAAAAGGTTCATTCTAAAGATGTTTTATGGCAAAAACATTACACAGAATATTCAAAAATATATTTCAAATTCTCTTAAAAAAAGCAAGATCATAACTATGCAATCAATCCCAATGAGCATCATATCATGCTCCAAAAAATTCGTATGAAAGAAAATCTGATTAAAAATACACTCTTAATACATCTCATTAAAAATCACAATATTAAGCAATGAAAAATCCTGAGAGTCATTACGATAGTATAAGATACTGATTAGCCAGTTGAAATTATCATTTCACATCTGCAATAAGTTGTCATTTGAATTTTTTAAATATTAATAATGGAACATTATTATTGTAGACTCTGATGCGAGGTCCACAAAAATAAACTTCAAACTTGAATAAATTTCTATTCAATTAATTTAGACATTCTTCTTTTTTTTTTTTTTTTTTCTTTTAAAAATATTTAGTACACCACATACTACTACATTAATTTGTATTGCTTTAAATTAATTAGATTGATTTATACTGCTTAAATATTAAAAAAGATATGTGATATTTCATACAAAAATTCATAAACATATTAATTTTAATACAATTTTGATTTACATTTATGATTTTACATGCAATCCTATTGAAGCAAAAGCCAATTTTTTTTCTTTCTCATAATGACGTTTCAACATTCAATCTAATATCTTAAGGTACTTTGGTACTTACGTATTATCGCAACCAGGTTGACGCTATTTGTAAGTTTGAGTAAAAAAGTATGAATAGAAAGAAAATGTACATTTATTAATTACAGATAATTTTTAATACAGTTTTTTATATTATTTTCTTTTAAAATATAAAATAGCAATTAAACCCTTCCGGTTTTGAATAAGTTGCAGAATTATTTTTTCGGCGGAAATCTTTTGGCTATTGCTTTTAGCACTGATTAAAAACCGTATTCGCCATAACCATGTACACGTCGACTTATTTTTACTTAAAAAAAAATCCCAGAATTGCACAAAAATGGCATTACGCACACTGTTCACTTTATCCATGTACACTGCTATTTTCTCATAAATTACAAAAATTTGCACGAAAATGCAGGAAAATTTTGTGAATCTCCACATGCTCTTTTTTACAAAACTACGTATAACACGTAGGGTTGCCAAACTTCGCAATTATGCGAATTTTGACCTGGTTGCGATAATACGTAAGTACCGGTACTTTTTAATTATAAACGTACAAGTGAACATTTTGGGAAAGTCGTTAATTTGGACACCCATAATCCAGAATGATCTATAATCCGGACCTCAAAGCTAAAAACTTTCTGCGCATGCGCCGCGTTGACACATGCGCATAGGCGTTTACGCGTGCACGTGGCCATACCAGACTTTTTTACTCCAGACGAATATTCGTTGAGGCAAAAATTTAAAATAAGGAACAGTTGTTAATCTGAGTGTAAAAAAAAAAAAAAAAAAAAAAAAAAAAGGGGGGGGAGAAGATCCTGAGAGGTATGAACGTTTTCCGAGTTTTTCTGAAATAGGCAGAATATTTTGTTGTATTCTTCACTAACAAACTCTTGAAAAAACATTCCTATCTTTCTGATATTGTAACAATAGAGGAAAAATCTAACACCGAAACATTTCTAGGACTTTACAGCAAAGAAAATATTTTCAAGAGAAAGAAGACTTCGTCCATGGACTTTTAACTTTGAGAGACAACGGCGAAGTCCTCAGAGTCAAAAATTAAGAAAACTGAACATGATGATAATTTTTACTTACTTTAGCACCTCTGACTTCCGACCAAGCGCTATCTAATTGAATGCCTCATAAGAATATCTGAATGAATGCCTCATAAGAAGAACTGCCATGCTGGCTTGCAGATATTGGCAGACAAATTAAGAGAGCGATACTGGATCATTCCGTTCAAGCTAATTATGAGATTTTGCGTAAGCTGATATGTAATCTGCTGTAGATTCCCCACCAACACCCCCGATACAGTTACCACTTGACAGAGTAAGGGATTCAACAGTCTTTTAAACAATTGAAGTCGATCTCTTTGCTCTTAGCTTTTGCTTTGATCAACTGGAGTCATGTGAGACCAAAGGCAAAAGCTTGGATCGTCTTGCTCACCCGCACCGTGTACAAGGTGGTTAATTTGGAGCCAGTCGCCTCTCACGTATCACCTGTAGTATCGAAAACTTTCTGCAGGATATGGGATGGTTCATTGCTAGACCGGTTCCTTTAACAGTGTATTCCGATAACGGAACCAATTTCACGCAAGAAACAACGCTCTGAGCCGCCTCCATTGGCAAAAATATCGCAGAAAAAGAGTGTTTTCCAATAAAGTTCATTCCTCCTACGGCTGCGTAGTGGTGGTAGGATGATCAATTAATCCTACCAAGACTATTCTTGTGCGCATTTTAGGAAAATCATCAGTGAATTTTGAAGAGTTACTGAAGGTATTGCGTGACAGTGAATCCGCATTAAACAGCCGTCAGAGGCGTAGCTAGGGTTTTCGGCGCCCGGGGACAACTGAAGATTTTGCACCCCTTTCTCTGTGCCAAGAACGGAAAACATTTCATTCTAAAATTTCGTAACATCAGTTTGGCACCCCCTGAATGCTGCGCCCGGGTACAGGTGTCCCCCTTACCCCACCCTAGCTACGCCACTGACAGCCGTCGCTTAACTTGCATCTCGAATGATTCGGAAGAGCTCGGACCTTTAGCCCCTTGTTTTCGCAAGACATAAAACAGGTGGGGTACCAGATCCGGATTACATCGGCTCCCAGAAAGTGAATGTGCTGGGCATCTACTGCAGTATACCGAGACAGGAAATGAGGAGTCGCTTCCGCAAGGAATACCTAGGCCAGCTTATCCAGATGGTCAGTGCTTCAAGAGAAGATCAAGCTGAGGACACAGTCCTCATAGGCCTATAGAACGAAAAACGTGTACTAGGGCCCATGGTCAAAATTTCAAAAATCTACAATAAGATATGGTGTTACTAAAGTAGTACAAATGAAAACAAGCAATGGATAATTGGGAAGACCAATCAAAAAAACTATATCCACTAAAGGTTTTTAGCTGCCAGCGATCCTGTGCAAACCTTGTCAAATGAAAACAGATCTTGATAACGCAGATTCCTAAAATCAAGGAAAAAACTCTAAACTTTACGTAAAATGTAGTTTTTGGACTTCACAGCTTTTGTTTGGTAATGACTGTAATTCTTTGTTAACCTTATTTTAACATATTTTACCGATCATGTATTTATTTAGCTATTTTTTGCAGGATATTGCAATATTGTACGAAGATCTATGAGGAAATTTCAGCAATTTGTTTTATTTCTTAGAATAAGAATAAATTTTATTAACTTTTTATCAACTTGTGCATTCAATCCATTACGAATTTACGAATCCGTACGCACGCAATAATGTTGTATTATGCATATTGGATTTTTATTCAGCTTTAAGCAGGTTTTTTTTTTTATTCGTACATTTATATCTAATTTACAAGTTTTGTTTTTATGCCTTATTCTTAATGTTAAAAAAATTAATTTGGAACAAGTAATGAAATGTAACTTTTAATATGGTTTCCTGGTTCCTGTATTCATATTCAGGAAAGTTTTACGGTCATTATGAAAAAATAAAAATACGAGAAGTTTGACTCCCATACGACAAAAATTGACCGAGATGTTTAATTTCAAAATTTGAAAATTGCTTTGAGGGATCAATTGATTAATTTAAAATAATTCAGGGAAATAAAGTGCAGCAAAAAATTTGTATAATTTAACAGGCTGTAGAAGGAAATCATATGATGTTGAAATCAGAATTTTTGTAGAAGTAAGAAATAATGCGAATTTTGAATTACATACTTAAAGCTACAAAAGTTTTTAATATGATTTCCTCTTAACGTGTTTTTCTTTAAATCAAATACACTTATGATAAAAGTTTTGGATATTTGTATTCTAAAATATGATAATTCAAGCTTTAACGTTATCTCTTTTCTGATAAAATAGGGGAAGTTGGTGTTTTATGTTGCAAGCCGTCAGTTTTCATTCCGTCAGGTAAAAATGGCGGATTTTGTTTATGTTTGCATTGTACTTCTCATTGGCTTCACGCATATTAAAATTTCAGTAAGTTGTTCTAATATCGTAATAACATAATTATTTTGATCAAATTTTATATTTGAGTTTACATGTTTTAGATTTGAAAAGAAAATGCTTTTCATCTCATAGAAATTTTGAATATTTTGAATTTTAAGGTTTGTAAGGCTTTTAACGAAATTTAGAGGTATCTGATACTTTTAAAGGTAAGGATTTATTCGGAGTGATTTAACATATGTGAGTAAAGCTTATGAACAAGGAACTAATTTACAACAATTTCTTTAGATAGCAAAAGCGAAAAAATTGTTGTTATCAATAACGGTAATATAATGTTTATTATTCATTATTTCAGTCATAAAACCCTATCTTAAAATAATAATCTGATTTTTCAATTTCCTCTCTTATTCAATTTAACCATTTTAAATCTTAACCATAAAATAACACTCAAATCTTTTATTTCTTGAAATCCACCTTAATTTTTATTTCCTTTTATATATTTATTTTATTTCCTTAAGTAAAGGAAGTATTATAATTACGGAAACTTTCGAGTTCATGTTTTCACCTTGCGCGCACAGTTTAAAATATTCTGTTGCCTAATAACTCCATATTTAATATATAGCTTTCATAACATTTGGAAACTACTGTGAACCAAAAATTCTAAGAATTTCATGTTAAAATTTTATTTTATTTGGAGTTGAATTTAAAAAATCTGTAATGTTTTCGTGCATAATTTTTTTTAATATTAAAATATTTATCAGATTTTTGGTTCAGGTAGAAAATAGTGCCCATATAAAGAATTCCATCCAATTTCAAGTATGTGCCATTAGCCACTTTTAAAATATCATGCGCGCAAGGTGGAAACATGATGAAACATTTTGTCACAAAGCGAATTAAATTACAAAAATATTTGTGGCAACACAAATCTTCTGGCTACTAGTTTCCAAAGCAGTTATATTAGCAGTTAGTCAGCTGTAAAACGTTGGAAGTAATTACTTTTAAAATAAATAAAATATCTCGGTTCTTGCAATAGTCACATATTCGAAGATCATAAGGGGTTTAAGGTGTATGAGCTCCCTTAAATGTATACTTAAAGTTTATCCTTTAATTGTGGTTGCAGAGGTTTATGATAAGGATAACATCATTTTAAATTTGAGCTTCGGAAGAAAAGAAGCAATTTTTATTTTCATTCATTGCTCATATTTCTACCTACTTATTCGGCATGTTAGTTGCGTAGCTACAACTTTTGCCGCTCCTCTTATATGAACACAAAATAATTAATGTCAAAACTGCATGTAGGGAAACAAATTAAAACTCTACGCTTATTTTTGAAGAAAAGTTTTAATTCCAACCTTTTAAAATGGTATGATCATTTTTCTTGTGTTTTTGTTCTCAAAACCATCTATGACATTGTAGATATCTATTTGATTACTGTTACTGTGAAAAAGACAAAAACTCCTGAAATACGAAATATACAGTTTTAGTTATTAAATACTTCTTGAAAGATTTTTATTTATAAAATACTCCTCACAGCTAGAAACACAGCAACTGAGATGAAAATTCGCACTAGTATTACAGCATTTGGAATTTCATTCCGGAGATGGCATTTTAGAATAAACTGCGGAAATTCAAAAGAATTCATTTTCCACGTACTTGTTCAAATTCTTCTAGCAATAACGGAAATGCTTCTTTCCTAAACAAGAATTCTTCCTTATTAATATTACCGTAATCGTACCTTAGCTGATCATCTTTTAACTTGCACTCAAAAGTTCGACAGAATTATAAAAGATGTAACAAATGTATGTAGCTGCTAAAATCACGATGAGATTTCTTTGAATACTCGTTTAAATTGAAACCTTTTTCCTTTTCAGTTAAATTGGTCAGTTTAATGGCAATTCATTTCTTCTCATTTTCTTCTCAATTTAATGTCAATTTAGAGCCTAATTTTCTTTACTTTAGTCACCAATCCGTCTGATTAACCCCTATAAAACACTGTTTCGTGCAGAAAATCTAAAAATAAAAATACCCCGCCAGGAGCGGACCACCCTCTTTCAGATACTCTACTGATATTAGTGTAAAAATTCTAATGGAAATCATGAGCCCTTCTGAGTGATTCGCCTGCTGTATTGATACATGAAAAAAGTTTGCAAAATAATACCATTTCCCTAAATGACAAAAAGCTGAAGAATTTTACTGAACTTTTTGTTCTACACTTATTAGACATCAAAAACATATCCGCTGGAATACTAGAATGATATAGAAGAAAATAGATTTATATTTTGCTCAGAGCAATTTATAAGGTTATCTCTAGTCTTCTTAGCATGCCTTTGTGGTGTAGTGGTCAGCACGCTCGGCGCATATTCGAGAAGTCCCGGCGAGGGCATTGCTCCTTTTTCTAATCTCCTGGTTTAAAAAGTCTTGTCTTGTTTGTCTTTACAGTGGCGCCTGAACTAAAAAAAGGTGGATGATGATTCTTCACCACTAGGATTTGGCGACTGGGTCGCCTCATCTCCACTTGGCCTTTAAAAGGGGGAATATATAAAGTATTTCTCCCTCCTTCTTAGTATGCCTTCGTGGTGTAGTGGTCAGTATGCTCGGCGCGTATTCGAGATGCCCGTGGTTCGCGACCCGGCGAGGGCATTGCCCATTTTTCTCATCTCTGTTAAGAAAAAACTGATGTCTTTTCAAGTATTTCTCCCGTCTTCTTAGCATGCCTTCGTGGTGTAATGGTCAGCACACTCGGGGCGTGTCCGAGAGATTCGAATCCCGGCGAGAGCGTTGCTCAATTTTCATGTCTCCTGCTTCCAAATAACCTAATGTCTCTACACATTAAATTCAATATCCTATAAAGTATTGTTAGCAAATAAAAGAGAAACTTCATTTGTTGTTATTCACTTTACGATTTCGAGAGTTTTATTTTTTATGTCTACAAAGTGTAATAAAAATAAAAATAAATAAATAAGAACAAACAGAGAAGAAAATTTCTAACTTTTTTTGATATCGTTATATTTTTAAATTTCAACAACTGCCCCCTCCCGAAAAAAAAAAATGGTTCTGTGTTAAGTACGTAAAGTTGCATGGGATTAGAAACGTCTGTTATAAATTATAATAATAATAATTTATTTAAATGCATTTTGACATTTACCAGCAGTTCTCAACGTCTGTTGTTCTATGCACCTCATTCACAATAGCTAGAAGATCATTTCTTCTTCCTTTCCCATAATCGAAAATTACATATACGTTTATTTAAATTTAGATTATTTTTTAACATGCTTTTATAAATTAAACAACAAAAAAGATACAGAAAATGTTGATAAATACCAAAACTTGAATAAAAGTAGCTTTTTTATAATAAACTAAAACTGCATACTTAGCTAAGTAAAAGCCTGACCTTATCCCCCGAACGTAATGAAATTCCCCACCAAGGCGAGGAGATAACCTCCTAGTTGAGAATTCTTGCTTCATACTTTAGTATTTAATTTTTATGACGCACATTTAAATATAAACAGGAATTCCATGGCCTATTCATGTAATGAGCTCAGGGGAATCATGACTCATTTGGCAAAAACATACATGTTTGAACATTCTGCTTCTAACACTCCTATTAATTGAAATTTAGGAATTATTCTATTAACTGTAATCATCGGAGAGAAAGGATTAAAACAATAACAGTGTTGCGAAGCGAATCATCATTAGATTTTAGGTATTATTCTATTTTAGATTTATTCCAGATGAGTTTGGAAGCAAGTGCTAAAGAGTATGAGTTGTTCAGGTCTTTTCGAGAAAGCTGGCTGAGAGTTGAACCATATGCTCGTTGGTGAGAATCTGAAAGGACAAACTGGTTAAAAATGCACAAATTTTGAAAAGTAAGATTTCAGAGAAATTTTACCAAATGGAAGAAGCTTAAGAGTAAATAGTAGTCTCTTTTTCCTACTTATTAAAATTTGCTTCGACGAATTAATAAAAATTCCATATGTTTGTATATAAATAATTTTGAACTCTTTATTTCTTACTTCTTTATTTCTTACTTTACTTCTTACTCAGTAATTCTTACTTAATCGAAACGCCACCAAGCTTGACACGTCGCGACCTTTCAATTCCGATAAAGTTTGTAGCTTTGGAGGGAAATTTTTAGAAATTATCTCTCCCAGGGATTGTAGTTGCTCATTGGCCAAAATGAAATCCTTTCTTATAAATTTTCAATTGTGAAAGAAAAGCTGTTCACATGTAAATATATTCCCAAACAAAGCGAGTAATGTCAGTACAAAATTTCGAAAGTGAGCTTATTTATTTTTTGATGATTACGAAATTTGCAAAAAATCTGTATCTTCGAATCTTTGAATAATATTTACACCATTTCACTAATCAATTAGCTCCATTTATAGAATTTCTACTGCGATATTCACATTCATTTTGAATGGAAATGAACATAATACATACTCGGACTTCAAATAACTAAAATCTTTAAATCTTTGCAATTGCATCAAACAGATAATTGAAACTTATTCGTTGGCGACAGCCCCTCAGGGGCTCACTTTTGTGAGTAAAAGTGTGGCAATCCCGAGGTACAGTAGTCCTTTGTGGGATGATCTTCTCGGTGAGATGGGGGTCACGATCCTGAAGCCCTAGTGATCTTTCCCCCTTTTCTTTTTCAATTTACTTATCTGTGCTAATTTCTTTTCTTCTGCCCTTGTGGTTTTCCTTTTTGGAGGTTTGGCTCAAAGTGAGACTCTAATATATATCTTTGTTTCTAGTTTCTTACAGAGAGGAAACTACCTACGCGTTTGCCGTGCGTTGTGACCCGTAAGGCTGGAGAGGAAGGTCTTGGTAGTTGAGGGGTGAGGTACTGTCCCCAACACACTGCTTTGGCCTCTGCTTCAGATTGGAACTGGAGGGCACTTAGTTGTCCCCACTAGTGTCAATCGACTGGTCACTCGTCGTTAGGGTCAGTAGCTTGCGGATAAGTTCCTGCTTTCAGGAAAGCTGACTGTGGAGCTTCAGATTGCGTATAGACCCGGTTAACCCTGCCGCAGATTTCTGCGTCTCCTTGTTGAACTCCGTGGTGGGTGTGGCTGCCGGGTGCGAATTATTTTTCTCTTCAATATGGATAATTCAAAAATATATTTAATTAAAGACTTTGAAGTCAGTCAGGTCACTCAAAGTGCTAATTCTTCTGAAAAACCTACTGCTAAAAAAGTACATACTGATGCAAATGCCAATAATCCAAACATTTCTCCCCGCTTCCTTGTTGTCTCTAGTTCTTCTGACAAGCTGCAAAACACGTCTCCATTTGTGATAAATAAATACATCCATTCTTGTATTGGTGATCCCAAAAATATAAAGCGTCTCCGCTCTGGAGACTTGCTTATTGATACAACTTCGGCCACACAGTCTACTTCCTTACTTCAAATAACCAAACTTGGGTAAGCAAATGTCACTGTAACAGCGCATAAGACAGTGAATTATAGTCGCGGTGTAATCTCGGAAGTCGACCTTCTGTCTGTTCCTGAAGAAGGGTTCGTTTCCGAGTTAGCTGACCAAAGCTCTGCGGATTGGTTCTGGAGCTTTCAAGATATCTCCTGTCCAGATCCTGTATGTTGACTCTAACGAACCATCACTTTATCTGAGGCGTGAGCAGTTGTCCCTTTTGCAGTATTTTAATATTTTGTCGCAACCGGAACATCCTAATAAGCTGTACTTACTTGATAATGTGTGTAACACTTTATTTGAAACATGTCCATCCTGTGTGCCGATATTTCCTTTAAGAATTCGCCGTGTCATTGATGAACTTTCCCTCTCTACTTAATGGTTTCAACCATCACGTGAAGGCAAGCACTAACGATATCGTTTACAGACAACTCTTTGCTGAGCACAGGCATAAATATAGCAGTTATCTTCCAGTATATACAGAAAAATTTAAGTCAAATGTTCATGTTGGGATGTATTTAGAATTGAAGATCACATAGCAGACGTTTGGGCAACGCTTTCTCAGTCTGAACATCTGAGCTAACTGCAATCTATTATGGTCTTTTGTACATCTCAAAGCTCTGCCACAAGAAGTTCATACTGTATACAGACTCGTATAGTGCGCTGAAAGCGTTAGAAGCTTTTTCCGACACTCAGAATGCTGTAATAGTGGATGTTCTCAAGATACATATAAACTTAACGAGTGGTGGAGATGAAATCCTGTACTGCTGGGTTCCCGGAATGCGGGAATAAAAGGCAATGAACTGGCAGATATCACAGCGAAATATGCTGTTGAACTGTCCAGTCGCTTTATTCCTTTTAGAGATATCTGTTAAATCATCAAAGAAAAGATCGGGAAAAAATGGGATGTTCAGCTTCACAACAAGTTGAGAACTGTAAAGCCTAGAATTGAACTTGGGATTTTAATAGAAATCGTAAGGAGGAGTTCTTTTGGCTCGCCTCAGGATTGGTCACACTAGAGTGACACATAACTATCTTCTGAAAGCTGAAAATGAGCCTATTTGTTTAAATTGCAATGTTTGTCCTCGGCCTTTTGGCTAAGATCAACTGTAGTATCTGTTCGTCATATTTTAATTGAGTGTCCAAGTTTTAATGATCTTCGTCACAAATATTTTAATAAGCTCGACCGTTTAATCGGAAGAGAGCTCAATTGTAATTTATTTTATTATTTAAAAGAGACTGGCTTTTATTATCTAATGTAATATGTTTTGAAGATTGTGTATTGTATTTTAATGTGTGCTTTTACCTTGTTTTTATATGCTTCCTCCTCTGGATTTGGTAAGCAATTTGAAAGCATCATTCATTCTTGAACTCATCTACCTCGTGTTTGGTGCAATTTAATAATTTTTGATTTTGCGCCAATAATCTTACTCTCACTCACTCACTCGCTGGAGACAGAAAATGGCGAGCCGTTAGTTTGAGACCTCTATAATACAACAATGAAATTGAATAAATGAAAATTTATGTATATATATGTGAAGAATTATGACGTTTTATGTATAATCTTTTTAATTACTGCGAATATAAAAACGAAACCATTAGGGAAAAAAACTGACGTAAAAGTTAGTTATTAAGAATTTATACTTTTTTCTTGATCATTAAACATATTCAAGCATGTGTTGGAAATTTTTGAAATGCCTCATTCTTTACCTAACTAATTTTTGATAACTTCCGAGATTAAAATTTATGCCTCCTATTCAAGTTTTAAATAAGTGTGCTTTATTAGTCATTTTTTAAATTGCACTGCAATGATGTTGCTAGTGAGAAAGTGCGTCTGATAGAAGATCAAGGTCTTTTGAAATACAAACTTAAAATTTCATTTATACGTCAATATTTTTAATTATAGACCGCAGGAGGCTGCAACGATTTCTGGGACATATCAGCCGATGAAAATGGTCAAGTCCGATGGTTTGGAGTAGACAGAGATGCGTTCATGGACATCAGAGTTGAAGCAGATGACGCTTTGTCATCCGAGTGTTCTGTGACAAGCAAATTAGGAATTCTTTTCAATGCACGGGAAGTACATTTCAAGCCACCTTGCCCTATTTCTAAATATCAAGTGAGCGTTACGTTAGTATGCAACAAGAATGAGACTTCTACCAGAATTATGAGATTTAGTGTTCCATATGAAGGTAACATGAATAAAATTTTATTTATCAAACATTAATTGTTTACCTCCCATAACATAAATAACATATCTTACACGAATTATATTTATTTAAACTACAAATGAATGGAGAATTTTAAGTTATGCATTTAAATACTTTCTGCAAAACACAAAGATCTTTGTCACTGCATTTATAATATATTTGAATTAATCACAAATAGAGAAAATAATAGTGCTTTTTAAGTAATAGATGAATAAAAGATATTGTTACGAATTTGGTATTTAAAAAGCTAATGTTAGTTCAATTTGAGTAGTTAGGACATTTGAGTAGTTAAAAGATAACTACTGTGAGAAGATATTGTAATACTGCATGATAATTTGAGAAAATTTAAGCATTTTTGTTGTGATAATAATAAATTTTTGTTCATTTTTCCTCGGACTTGTGCATTCATTTCATAACGAACCCGTACGCATGCAACAATTTTTGGTGTCAGAAGTGGGATTTGAATGCCAATAACAAGAGCGATGGAAGAACAATTAAGGCAAATGATACTGCATTTGCTGGCTTTCCAAGAAAAGATGGAAGGGGCCGTCAAACTCCGTTAAGGAAGAAATGAAATTGGGCCAGGAATCCGTTAAGGAAGAATGAAATCTCTTAAAATGAGATGAAAGCAGGTCAGGACGAAATGAAAAGAGAAATTACCTGCGTAATAGAAAATAAATTTGAGGCTATGGAAGGCAGAAGAATAGACGCGGTTGAAACTAAAGTTGGGACAAATAGAAGAAAGAGTTTTCTTCGGTAAAGAACAAGTAGAAAAGAAATTTCTTCTGTAAAAGAACATATAGAAGAGAGAGTTTTCTGCCGTCGAACAACAAATTGATGATAGGGTTTCTGCTGCTGTTGCCAAAGAAGTTGACACTTTAAAGAAGAGCATAGCGACGGAGGAAAGCAATTCTGAGGGTTTTAAATTTTATCGATGCCTGCTCGTTCCATCTCTGAAAGTCTATCTACATATGATGGGAAGACCTCCTGGCAAGTGTATAAAACACAATTTTCTATCGTTTGCGGATGCGAATGGATGGGATTCCCAAGCTAAGGCCTGTCATCTCTCGCCGCTTCTCTGAGAGCAGACGCAGCGGATATCCTGCAGACGCACTTCCCAGAAAACCAAAGACTTTAGACTTCGAAGCTCTATCCGGCGCATTGGAGCTGCGCTTTGGCGAGAAATGTTTAAAAGACTACAGCAGGCTTCAATTAAAATCCCGTCAACAGAAGCCCACCGAATCACTTCAGGAACTCGCCACTCGCCACGGATGTTGAAAGGCTGTCCCACCTCGCCTTTTACGGAGTGCCCGAGAGAAACGAGGGAAATCCTGTCCCTGCAATATTTCATCGATGGCATCCGGGACCCTGAAATACAGAAAGCACTGCGAATGGCGGATGTAAAAGATCTGAAAAGCGCTCTGTTGTACGCCATGAAAGTTCGAGGCAGCCCAGCAAGCAACTAGTAGAGAGATCGCTACCCAGTCAGAGCTGTGCGAGTCCACGACCCAGGGGACCAATTGATGGCTCGTTTAGATGATTTATCCAGACAAGTCGATGCTTTGATACGGAGTAGGAGCGAGAAGAAAGTGGCTCTAAGGTGTTGGAGATGTGGTAGTGAAGGTCACCTAAGACGGAATTGCAGAACACCCCAGGGTACGGAATATAAAGCAGATGATTTTACCAGACAAGTCAGTGCTTGAGACGGAACAGAAGTGAAAAGAAACTATTCTAAAGTGCTGGAACTGCGGAGTTGAAGGCCACATACGAAAGAACTGCAGAACACCCCGAGGTACGGAAAATAAGACCATTTCCAGCAACGACGCAGTAAACAAATTAGTGACCATATCGAGGAACGGAGGTTGCCAGATAATGAAAAACCTTGTTTTAAAGCGCTTAAAATTTATACAGTGAGTGGCAACATAACGGACTGTCCATCAATGGGAATATCGATGGAGTTCCTTGCAATATGATCATTGACACAGGAGCTAATGTTACCATCATTAGGAAAGATTTAGCTGAACAGTTTAAAGATAAACTTATTTGGACGCCATCCTGTGTTACCCTTCAGACTGCGTCTGGTGACAAGATCGACATAACTGGGAAGTTAAACGTAAACATCACGTTTGGAAGTGCCGCCTACCATCACACACGGCATATGTGGCGGATATTACAGATCCATGCATACTCGGATTGGACTTTTTAAGGAAATACAATTTTTCCTTAGATTTCAAAAACAATAAGCTGCTTTCAGCATCTGATGGCATGACTATCCATCCTCAAAAGGGATCCTCGCCTGGAAATGTCGACGCCTTGTCCGAAAGATCGAGCTCGGGAAGCTGCCGAAATCATACCAGGGTCGAAAAGAAACTCAAGACTACCAGCTATTCTCCATCCCAGAAGCTCTTCGGTCGAGACCTTCGTCTGCCTTGTGACCGCCTGTTTAGTCGCCCTACGGATGCGCCTTCATCGCCTGAGGAACACATCCAAGATGCCCAGGCCCGGTTTGAGGGGATGCACCGTTCTGCACGAAAGCGAGTCAACTTGGCGACGGAGAAAATGAAGACCAGATGCGACACAAGAGCTACTAGACAGAGATCCAACAAAGGAGACAAGGTGTGGTTGTGGAACCCAATTCAACGAAAAGGACTGAGTCCTAAATTACAGTCACCTTCGGATGGTCCATATACAGTGCTGAACACGAATGACGTCGTGGTTCGGATCCGTGAGTCTTCGAACTCTTACGACAGGTTAGCTTATTACTATGGCCATAGTACGTAATGTAAATAATTGTAAATAGTATCAGACCATGGTCCTTTTTGTTTTTAAATGTGTATTTGATTTGATTTGTATTTAGTATTTGATTTGCATTTAGTATTTGATTTGTATTTAGTATTTGTTTTGTATTTAGTATTTGATAGCATTTGATTTGTTTAAGTTAGTTATTGCATTTATTGTTCATGTTGTTTGATATTGTAATGTAATGTTTATGCCACAGTTGTAAGTTTAGCTTCCTGTCCAGGGATTGTACTGCCCGGGACGTGCAGTCCTTGGGAAGGGGGCAGTGTTACGAATTTGGTATTTAAAAAGCTAATGTTAGTTCAATTATAAATTAAATGGTTTTATTTCTCGCGCAGTGCAGCGCGTGACGAATATTAAAAGAAAGCTAAGCCGGAAAATTGAAAATACAAGAGCGCGTGCATTAAATAAATAAATATCTCTTTTTGATTTCGAGAAAGTACTGGAAAATTCTAGCGCGTGATTTTAAAATCTTATAAAAGGAGGAAAACATCTCAGTTTGTAGTAGTTGCTTAGTTTGTTGTTGTTTAGAAAACTGCTCTTGTTGATTGTAGCGAATTCGCGGATTAGCGTTCTTTAGCTGTTTTGAATTACGTTCTATTGGACATTTGAGTAGTTAAAAGATAACTACTGTGAGATATTGTAATACTGTATGATAATTTGAGAAAATTTAAGCATTTTTGTTGTGATAATAATAAATTTTTGTTCATTTTTCATCGGACTTGTGCATTCATTTAGTAACAAATCCGTACGCACGCATCAATATCATAAATGTATGAAACTGTATCTGGAAAAATCAATTTTTATTTGTTGTAATTCGTTTTTGTTACAAGGAGCTGTAGCATGAGTAAGGAGAGTTTAAAAGCGCAATATAAATTTAAAATGTCAAGAGACTGGTAAAGAAAATTACAACTATTTCAAATTAAATGCAGTTTAGTTTTTTTCCCCTAAAAGAACGATTTTTATTTTCCGTAGTCTAACGAAGACCTAATTCTTAATCTTAATTTATTGGTATATACGGAAGAAATCTATCATTTGTATTAAGAACAGCAGTTAAATCATATTATATTCGTTTTAATGAATGTGCTGAAAGCTCGTCTTAATCATTTAGAAAATCTTTTAGCGCCAAAATAAACATATATACACTTGTGCTCAACAAATAAGCAAAAAACGCCAAAAGAGAAGATACGATTGTAAAAAGAGGAACCAAAACATAAAATTTACATGCCTGATGTAGAGGTTGCATCGCCGAATGCAACTAAGCAAGCAAAATTAGCAAAAAATGCAATTCCGCAACCACACCACAATGATTTAAATAGAGGTATGCCAGATGTTATACATCAATTCGCAAGCAGCGATTGTTACGTGCAATCCGAGATAACTAAAGCGGAAAGCATGAGCCAAAGACATCATTTGCATGATGAAATGCAATGGAGAGCTGTCAGGATGTTGCAAGACAATCTGCTGTTGCAGAGAACTGAATGTGCATCATAGTGTCGTCAACAGACTGTGGGATAGTTATCCCTGTAAAAAGACGTGTGTCTGGATGTCGGAAAATTACCGCAACGGCAAATGATCGCTTTCTGTTGCTATGTGCAAGATGCCGTAGACTAACAGCACGACAACTGGCATCGCATCTCTCTGCTACTGCAGGACTGCCCATATTTTGTCAATCTGTGTCGCGTCGATTGCATGAAGTTATATTTTATATTATTGTTTTTGTTATTTATCTGAATATTGACACACACTTCAAGTCAACAGGTTCAGAAATTAATCATAGCTAAAAGGAAAGTCTAGCAATATGGGCTTCATCTTTCCGCCTTAGGGCACTAAGAGTCCCCTTTTCTCTCGTAACAAGGCACAGGAGCTCAGTTCCTGCCCTCGAACCATGGCGGAGGGGGGCGCATCACTTTTGCGACACTGATCGTTGACTATGGTTTGCTAACTGCCAGTTCCTTGGGCTGTTTGTTGTAGAAGGACATTACTCAGCAAACCCAGAGCGCTATCCCCGGGCTACTAGAGCCAGCTGCTATAGGACGTGCCAGACCTTCGGGAGGCCGGCTAATAAATTACCTTTCCGGGACCTCCAGAACCACTAGGATAATTTGTTTATCCCCATGGTCGAGACGGCCTAAGAAGAGATTCTAGTCAGTAGCTTCGCAGAGTTCTCTATGTCGACCCCCGCTGGGGGAAGCTGACGCCTTGGACATTTTATAGGTTATGCTGAAGGTCTTTTGCCCTTTATGGAGACGATTTCGATAATTAATTTTTATGCATAAAGTGCATATTACTGGAAGCGGTTTGCTTCTATCTGATAGCTTTGACTTTTGGCTATAATTCTAGTTCGAATTTTCCATGAAAGTAAACTGTTTCTAACCACCGTCATGTCAATTTTATCCCATTTGCCTTGGGTATTTTTCCAGAGACCGTCGACTATTCTATTTTTTTTTTTTTTTTTTTGTTCCAATGGCGGGCTTTAGCAGTTTATAGGCAGTGGCCACACTTAAGGCTGGAAGCGGTGGTCTCGTTATTATGGAAGCCCATAATAGGTGAGTCGCCTTTGGCTCCTATGAAAGGACGGACAAATTGCACCCATGTTCTCTCCGGAGTTCGAACCGGAGACCTTCGTACAGTTTTCAGGGTCACTAACCGCTTTCTCGTCTGTGCGGACATTAATTATTCTTGGACGCCGTTTTCAGAAAGCTCGTTTTAATAAACCGCAAGCGCAAATTCCATAGGATGAGCTTCAGACGATTTTTCAGGAATTTCATTAAATGGGATACATTTTATTCCCGTTTCCGATTATTTCTTTGCTGAATAAGCGACAATTGGCACAAGTATGTGACTAGAAGATCTGTCCACATGGAATTCAAATTTGTTGATGTTTTTCCTATTTAAGATAGAAATTCTTCTTCATAAATTAGTTTTAAAATACCGAGCTGATAGCACAGTGAATTGATTTTAGCTTTACCTGAGACGTTTTTGAGTTTTAATTTATCGTTATTACAAAATACTTCAACTGTCATGAATTCGTTTTGGAAATTTTCTGTACTTTATCGACTTTTATTCTGTGTTGTCATGCTTATTATTTGATCAATACAAAATTTATCTTTTTTTGTTACAGTCACTTAAATATATCCATGGCTCTTCGAGTGTAGTCACACATTTCTGTTTATTCTTATATACCACAAATTACTGCAAATTTACCACAAATTTCAGCAGCCAGGCGTTTTTATGTAATTTTCTACAATTTGTAGAAACATCAGGAATTTTTGGAAGCAAGAGAGATTGAAAAATTAGCAAACGCCTTCGCCGAGAATCGAACCACGGACCTCTGGATACCGGCCCAGCGTGCAGAATTACTACACCACGAAGGCACGCTAGGAAGGCGGGAGAAATACCTTATATATCCCCTTTTAAAGATCGATGGGGTTTTTAGGGGACCCAATCGCCAAATCCTGGTGTGGAGAGTCATCATCCATAACACCATTTTAGTTCGGGCGCCACTATAGGGACATTAGGTATTTTGGGGGGGGTGGAAGCAAGCAAGATAAAAAATAAGCAAACTCCTTCGCCGGGAATCGAACCACAGACCTCTGGATACGGGCCCAGCGTGTAGAGCCACTACACCACGAAGGCACGCTAGGAAGGCGGGAGAAATACCTTATAAATTATTTTCCCTTTTTAGCAATATGCTTTGGCAAAAGTAAATGAACTTTAGGTTTAAGCGACTTTTTTAACTTCATATCTTTATAAATGATTTTACTTACAGTGACAAAATATATTTTCCTTTCCTAAGCAGTGGATCTTTAAGTCCATGGATTCTCTTTCAGGATTGGAGGCTTCACTTTCTTGATATATACCCGCTTTCGGAAAAAATTTAAGATGTGGTTCTGCGGCCATTTTTTCATTTTTACTTTCAGCTCGATGCATTTCATTTTTCAGAATTAATATATTAAAAAAAAACCTCTTCTTTGGCATGCAATAACCTACAACTTTACAATTACTGATATGAAAATCTTTTCTCAGAGTGGGCGATTTACATAACCTTACAACCATCTGTTACCTTAACGAGTCGTTTCGAAATAAATAATTTATTCTGCATTCCAATCAAAACAAAACGGTAGCAAAGAAGTTATACTGACTTTGCCAGCTCTTAAAATGCTAAACAGAAAATTAAAATGGGAAACTGTTTCCATAAAGGGCGAACAATTTCCTATAGTGCCACGTTTATCCAACTGCGTAATCGGTTTGATGAAGAATAATCTGCCCTTTTCAAGGGTTTCTTACCCCTCATCCACTATCAACAACCTCTCGAGAGGATTGTTGGTTCAGCAGTGATTTAACTGCATCTATGCAGTGAAGGTGTGATATTTCTACAATTATCCATGTATTCTCCAGGATTCAAACCAACGAAACCAAGGAACCAATATCACTGATCGCCATACCACTCAGATCAGCTGTCTATGATGTGTGAGAAGAGCGATAAGAGGAAAATTTACTCAATTATTTTAGTTATAATGCTGAAGACATGTTCAGTACAGAATGAGACGGAAGTATTTTATGAATACTTGTGTGACGAGAAGATAATGCGTAATCATGTTCCAGAGGATATCTTAAGTAAGGAATAACTGACTGGGGTTGTAGGAGAAAATGCTTCTGTAAAACTGAGACTAAAAAAATTTAAAAAACATCTTGGATGACTGATATTGTTTAATGTGTGCATTTAGGCACTATTCCGTTCGTTGTACTAAAAAACAGTGCAACGGTTTAATTTTCATCGGTCGTCGTACCTCTTCCTGAGAACTTCAAAAATCTTGCTATCCCAACAACTAAAGTAAACCATTTGACCAGGGAATTATAAAATGTTGTACATATTCTTCTACAGAATGTCTACTGAAAAAGACAATGAAATGATGAAAATAAAATAAAAAAGTGTCATTTCTGAAAATAATAAGCTTACTTACTTTAAAGTGCCTGGAAACTGACCTGACATAAATTACGAATAGCCATTGTTTTAAGAGATATGGTGCTTTTAGAAATCGTACTGATCATAAAGCTGTGAGTAAAATTTCGAAATATGGCGTTTCTTTATAATGACAAAACGTTTAATATAACTCATTAACCCATTTATGTCATTTTCCCAGTTTCAGTCCGATGATTCTGTGTCTAGAAGACATGTTCCAGGCAGACCTAGAGTTACAACATCTGCGAGAGACCGTCATTTAGCTCAGCCCCGAGAAGGAGTAACATTACTGTGCCTCAGTTCATGGCAGATCATTTAATGGCAACAAGTTATGTTGGGCAAGGGAACACGTTTTCTGGACCATTCAACAATGGGCTTCTGTTCTCTTCACAGAGTGCAAGTTCATATTGCGGAGTGATTCAGGTCGTCAGATGATCTCTAGTCAACAACGCACCAGGTACAGCCAATCCCACATTGTGGAAAGACACAGTTACAGAGGCGTTGGAATAATGGTTTGAGCTGGGATCTCTCTCGATGGTCACACTGACCTGCATGTGTTCCATGGAAAAACTTTGACCTGTTTGAGATATCGACGAGATCCTTGATCAATATGTCTTCCCATATGACGCTGCTATTGGTCCTGGATTTCTTCTGATGGACGAAAATGCGCGACCACAACAAGCTCTGGTTGCTAAAGAATATCTTGAGGGTCACGGTATGGAGCGGATGGAATGGCCAGCTTAATCCCTAGACCTGAATCCGATAGAGCATCTTTGGGACTATTTTGGGAGACAGGTTGCTACTTCAAGTCCTCTTCCGAGGTTGTTAAATGAGCATGAACAAGGATTACTCCGTGTCTGGTCGTTGCTTCCCATTTCACTGACCTACAACTTAATTGACGCATGGAACGTCGCTGTCGCCAATGCATTGCAGCTAGGGATAAACACATTTCTTATTAGAACCCATTTTGTAATCTTACCACCCCATTTTTTCTGAAAAAAACTGGGATAAACTGTTTGTCCAAAACGGGATTTCTCTGCCAAGAGTGCAATTTTTTGTTGTAATTCCTGTTTATGTTGACTTTAGAAACATTCTATGTCGCATTCATTAAAGAACTGTTTAAATGTTTATTGAACATGTCCTCTAAAGTTCTGGTTTCCATGTTGCTTCATTCTCAAATTAGACATAAAAATATACTGTTCCTTAACTTTTGAAGAGTAGTGTATTTTATAGCGTACGAAAAGCAATTCAGATAATGAAAGTAACAAATTCCCTTTAAAAAGAGGCGATATTCCAAACATATTTGAATAAGAGAAAGTATTAATGGAAGGTGTTTATTGAACAGAAAATATTACATTAAAATGCTATTGTAATGATCCGTTCTAACAAATGCCGCTGATACAATGCAGTCAGTTGGCAATAATTCGAGGTCTTATGACTTCAATATAATGTTTAATTCGAACTTTTATGATGTTCTAATTTCTTCTACCCTCATAACTCGAATTTCGATTCAAAATTCCTGCCCTCTAACGTATCATCGAATAGGATTTTTTGAGAGTTCGTTGTTAATTCATTGTAAGTTAGTGAGGCATTTTTTTTTTAGTTTTCTATTTCTTTAGCAGTGAAATATGAATGCCGAAGGAAAACGTGTGTTAGTCATAAAAGCGCTATTTTTTATAAACTATTAAAACACTCTTTTGACATTAGGTTTTAATTATGCTTCACTAATTTAACAATGGAATTTTTTTAAAATTTTCAATAGATCTGATACCAGAACATGTCCGAGTGATAGCTACAACCAATACCAGCATAATTCTCCAGTGGAATAAACCAACATCTTACAATGATTCAGTGGTCACTTACTCTGTGGAATTGGTGAGCACAAATTCTGAGGCAACTTTTGTGCAAAACACGTCTGACGTGTTTTGCTCTTTTCGGAACCTCATGCCATATACCTTGTACTCTGTTCGAGTTCGAGCTTTTACAGATGATATTGATGGAAACTGGACTGAACCTATAAAAGTTCGAACGGAAATTGGAGGTAAATATTAATCATTTTAATTTTCTTTCTACACTGACGGGAAAAAATCCCCCAAACAAGGAAGGAGCTATGATAGATAAGCAAAACTTGATAGGCGTGTTTATATAGGTTCTGATTAATTTTCTACGCAATTTTTTGTTTCAGTTTTGAATTGCTTTTGTTTTGATTTGAGTATTTTCTATTGAAAATTTACCGGCCTTTCGTGATTTAATTTTGATTTAATTACAATCTCTTGAATACATATACACTCATGTCCATAAATTAAGGATAATTCGGAGTCACGCGGAAATCGAACTCTAAAATAAATATATCACCCGTAAAATCACTACACACATCTTCAAGAATTGTATTCAAATTTCAGGAAGTAACCAGATGACACCGATGGTACGTCACAATGACAAGAGTGTAAGAGAGTGATATATAAGGAATACAGGCAAAGAAGTAAAATTGTTCGCAGGCGCTTTATAAGCATTTCAGTGCAATAACCGAATAGTTATGACACAAAGGACGCATTTGGATGATTTTTTACGTGGTAGAATCATCGGCCGTCTGAAATGTGGACGTACACAACAGGAAATATCAGACGAACTTGAAATTGCCTAGAGTGTCATCTCCAGTCTTTGGCAACAATTCCAAGATGATGGTAATGTGAGTAGACGTTACAGCACAGGTCGCCCCAGAGTTACAACGCCGAATGAGGACCGGTATTTGGCAGTTACTGCCAAAAGAAACAGGCGGAGCACAGCCTCAGACCTATCTCGTCAGTTCAGCCACTAGTACGACAATTTCAAGGCAGACCGCGTACAGACGCTTAGGGCATATTGCTCTATATGCTCGTAGACCTGTCAGATGCGTTCCACTTACTGCAACTCACTGTCGCCTGCGGTTAGCCTGGAGTAGAGAGCATGCATTGTGGACACCGCAACAGTGGGCTTTTGTGATGTTTTCCGACGAGTCCAGGTTTAGCTTGCAGTCTGGTTCTCGCCGGACTTTCATATGGAGAGCTCCAGGTACCCGTTACCACCAAGAAAACATCATTGAACGACACCGTTACAGTGGTGCAGGAGTGCTCGTTTTGGGTGGAATTATTCTGGGTTCCAGAACTGACCTGCATGTTCTAACTGGAACTATGACAAGCCAAATCTATCGGGACGTCATTCTGGAACAACATGTACGTTTGTTTCGGGGCGCCATGGGCGTACAATTTGTGTTTATGGATGACAACGCCCGTCCTCACCGTGCAAACATCGTAAGCGAATGCCTTCAATCGGAGGATATCACCCGTATGGACTGGCCAGCATTCACCGGACTTGAATCCAGTAGAGCACGTGTGGGACATGCTTGGCCGACAAGTTGCAGCCCGTCAACCTCCTCCTACATGTCTACCGGAACTTCGGAGAGCATTGCTTTTTGAGTGGTGTAATATCCCCCAAGATCATATCGATAATTCGATACTCAGCATGCCTAGGCTTTGTACGGACTGTATTGCATCGTCTGGGAAACATACAATGTATTAACAATCATACCAACCATGTAATATTGGTATTTTGTAAGTAGTTTTTTTTTTTTTTTTTTTTTTTTTTTTTTTTTTTTTTTTTGTAATTTGCTCCAAGGAGAAAAAATCGCTAATTTTTTTAATAATATCAAACATATAGCATCTTTTTTGCTCTTTACCTTTTGTTTAATAAATAAGCTTTACAAAAAAGTCAAATTTGTTTTGCTTCTAACAGTTCCTTTGCCTGATTTTTCATTATCCTTAATTTATGGACATGAGTGTATATATATATATATATATAATATTAACATCTTAAAAATAAAATCGCCAATATATGTTGTCGATTTCCCATTGGGAATCTAGGTTTTTGTGCATCGTCGTTTTCAGAATCAGAACTCGAAAATACCACTGGATATTTTATTTACACGTTGATCTTCATTTACTCGTATATCACAGAGTACAGTATTAAAATGAAATATTTATTATAGGATCCTTTATTTACCCATATATCACAAGTTACAGCATCAGAAAAACATATTTTTGGATGTATACATATCAGTGAAACTAAACTAAACTAAACTTTTTTCTCAATCTCCAATTCTATTCTTTTTAAATTGAATATCGCGAGAGCTTGAACATGCTTTGCTCATGAAATGATATAAAAAAGAAAGAAAGAATATTTCTCTCTTCTTGCAATTTTTCTTGAGAAATGGCAACATTATAAAATTATGTCATGGTATTTTAAGATTTTCTTTTTATGCTTTTGTCTGCGTTTTACCTTTAGCCCAAGAGTTCTCTCAGAAGGGGCTTGCTGATAGGAAGAACTTCACATATGTTCTCCTCATTTATTCTTTATTTTTTTTCAAATTGTACATTGAATAATATAGTGAGTAAGAAACACATTACTGTGGTAATAATAGTTATCAAAAAAATTTTTTTTTTAATTTTTTCCATTTCAGTTCCAAGCCAACCAAGTATTCAAAGGGCTTCATCAAACCATGACAGCATTTGGGTAGAATGGCTTAAACCTGAACATCTTAATGGACCAAATGTGACATATATAGTGATCTGGAAAGATGGCAACGTTCAGCTAGGATCGAAGAAAACGAATGAAACTTCATTCAGAATTTTAGGACTAAAATCCTTTACTCACTATATTATTCAAGTATGTGCTGTAAATGGGGCTGGAAAAGGACAATGTACAGATTTCGTAGGATTTAGTACTGGAGGCAGAGGTAAGGTTCCTTTCTCTTTCTTCTCTTGAGAGACTATTTTCAACTCAAGTTATTGCAGAGATAATAATAAGTTTTCTGTTTTTAGATGCACAAAAAAAATGAGTCATGATCAGTAGGAAATTAACTTTTCTAACTTAAATAATTTCACTTATATAGCCCTTCTGTATGCAAAAATATATTTTTTAAAGTCAGGGATGCTATTTTGGTAGACGGGTGCGATTTTGGCGATTTTTTTTTTTTTTTTTTTTTTTTTTTTTTTTTTTTTTTTGCGAGCGATACGACTTATTGTAAACCCATTGTTGGACACGTTATTTATGGTAACGGATACTTTGTTGTAATTTTATTTAAAAAATAATAAAATAATGCGTTTTATTATGCATAAATTCCGTGTTTTAAATATTACTTATGGCTTCTAAATATTAAAAATCAATTTAATTTTGCATTTTTATTTGAAATGAAAATTTTATTGTTTATGATATTTTATGGAATTTTATGTTGTGGATGATGTAATAAATGACGTCACATTACTTTAAAAGTAATTGGTTTTAATATCTATAAATTTAATCTAATGATTTAAAAGATATTTATGGCTGTTAAATATTAAAATATAATTTAATTTTGCATTTTTTTAAAAATGATTTTATTACGTACGATTATTTAAATAATTTTAATTCTATTCGTGATGTAATCGGCTTCTTGATAAGTTACATAATATTTGTGCATTAACGAGCTGTAATCAGCTCCCTGATTGGTTACAGAATATTTGTCCATTACCGCGCCATTTTAAAATTTTATTATTCATCTCTTGGAATTTAGATTACATTTTTCAAATTATTTTACAAATTTTTTCAAATTTTCCCTTAGATTACATTTTTTAAATTATATTACATTTTTCAAATTTTTTTCATTGATATCTAAATTATAATTCTGATTTTTTGCGGTACTTATCAATATACGACAGGTTTAATACTAGAAAAAATGTAAGTACATATTTTTCTTGCCGAGATATTTATTGCCACATATGTTTTAAAGTTAAATAATTATATTTGGGGAAAGTGCAAAATTGCCTACTGCTTGGCGCGTTTAAAAGAATTGGACATACTCGGTTCCATGTACACATCAACCTCAAAATGTCAAAGAAAATTGACAAAAATCCAATTCTTCTTACTCTTGTAAAAAGCGCCAAACAAACGCCAATCAAATAAGTGGCGATTCTGCACTTTAGCTATTATATCCTATAAAAGTTATTTTAAAGAATTTGAATTTAAGCAATATTTTAATTCTTTTAAACGTAAATCGCCAAAAACCCGTGCAACCTTCTACCAAAGTAGCACCTCAGAAATGTTAGAGCCACCAGCAGTCCATCGGTAAAGTCGCTAAACACTTCAGACAAACGGACTGGCAGTATGGTCATTTTCGTGATTTTTCCTACATGTAACTTGGATACGAGCAAGTTTTCCTCCGAAAATCCTTCACGAAGGCAGTCCTCTCTTTAGGAAGATAGCCCTTGCGTGCTTTGCCATAATTAAATAAACCAAACCGACCAGAAATATTAAATTAGAGGTTAAATTTTATATTGTTATACATTCTAATATTTTAGAGATTCTTTTTGATTTAATCAGATTGCAATATACCATTTATTCATGTAAATCATATTAAGAAAAACGGAGATAAAAGTCTTTAACTCATCGTACTGCATTTTTTGAATATGTTGCTGTCAGTTACATAAAAATTGCATGATCAGATGGCAGTTCGGTGCTACTCTGTTAGACGATTGCACGGATTTTTGGCGATTTACATTGGCACAATTGTTGGCGCGGTTTTTACAATCGTCAGCCATCTTGAAAAACACTGTTTTTACGTATTTTACGCATAGTAAAGTATTTGGAACTTTAAAAAAATAAATATCGTTAAAAATAATGGATTAATTTTTTTGTTGAAAACTGTTAAGAAAAGTGTTTGTTAAGATGGCTGGCAAATGTAAATAAATACATTTACTAAGAGTATAAACTACTGAAGGTTAAATTATTATTTTCATATAGAAAAGAAATAGAATAAAAACACTGCTATAAAACATTGCACCAACGTTTAATTGGATTAAAATATTACTTAAATTGAATATCGAATTAAAAGCATGATACCAACGTTTAAAAGAATTAAAATAGTACTTAAATTCAAATACTTTAAAATAAGTTTTATAGGATATAATTATTTAACATTAAAACATATGTGACAATAAATATCTAAGCAATTTTCTAAAACAGTGTATTAGTTTTTTTAATAATTTGTAATATTAACAGGATTTTCTGATATTCTGAGTTCTCAAGCTATATATATTTATAATTAGCATTTATGTTTTTAATGTATAATAAATTTCTCATTTATAGGAGCCATTTCTCCGTTAATCTTGATCTTTGCAATAGCAGTACCTGTGGCATTTTTAATTTTCATAGTAATCCCAGTGATAATTGAGATAAAAAAGCGAGGATCAAAGTCTCCATCCTAGTAAGTTCCCATGAAATATTAAGCGTATATACATTTAAAAATGAGAACTTAAGTTTTATTAAAATTAATATCACCTTAAAATTAACAGTTATTTAAGTTATACACAGCTCAGAATATGCATGTAATTTTTGGTAAGAACTTTTCGAGATTTCAGTAACCGTTTATAGAATTTTTCTGATTTCCTTTCCAATTCCAAGGTTTCCTAGCCCCAAATTAAAAAACTACCGATACAGTTTTATTTCTTGGGATATAAAGTATTCAGCCAATTCGTTTTGAGACAAAAAATTAAAATAATAATAAGCTTTGAAATTTTGCATACTTCTATTCAGAGTTTGCTTTTGTAAACGTGTTAAATTTTCTGTAAATAATATTTATTACGTTTACATTGTCTTTTTATTACTGAAAAGAATGCATATAACATTTTGCATTAAATATAATACGCAAGGTGTGCTTAATACAGCCTATATTTTGCGTTTAGTTTCTGCACTAAGTGAATAAAAATCCGAAGTAGACACCACATGACATCCTTGTATGGCCTGTTAAATTATACACATTTTTTTTGTTTCATTTCATAAACCTTATCCTCGAATTTCACTACAGATGCATTTCTCATTCAATTAATTGAGGTCTCACTTCGTGGAAAAGCAGGAATGCATAAAACTCAAATCATCTTCATTAAAATTGCAAATTTTGCGGTGCAAAAAATCTGAAAGTTTATTTTCGGTCCCACTTGGCAAAAAGACACCGAAGGTGCAGAAACTTACTTAATTTACTATTTTATTAAGAGCTTTTAAATATAAAAAAAAATGCGATTTATTTAGGCTTAGTGGCACTTCAACAACTTTTAAATTTTTGATAATTGTACACAACTCTTGCATGCCGATTAATTAAAGGCATAAAAACCTTAACCGGAACTCAAGAAAAACACAATTGAATCACTTTTAAAGCAAAAAAAAAAAAAATGCACAATTTATCAACATATGAGAATAAAATCTGAGCTCACCGAAGCGGGTTATAGCGTAGGTATACAATGTATACTTTTGTTGGGACCGGGACTACAACCAAAAAGGGAGTTGAGCAAAAGCGAGCAAAAAATGTTAGATTTCATTCGTTGATTGGAGAGTAAACATTACTTTAAACATTATGAACAAAAGCATATGCACATAATAGACGATTTTTTAGCTAGGAATGGAAATAAATTTAAACCTGAAAGGTATCATCATAAATGTTATGCGACTTTAAGTAGCTCAAATGTTTGCATTATCTATACATATTCGCGAATTATGTACATTCCTTTGTTTAGAAATATAGCAAAAAAAAAAAAAAAAAAAAAAAAAAAAAAAACATTTAAGAAAATATTCAGAACTGTTTCGCAATAATATTTAATATGGCATTTGATCTAAACATATATGAAGAAGAACGTTATTTGAGACAGGTGTATTTCTTTTGTAATAATTTTAGCAATGTAGTCGTAATTTTAAATTTTCAATCGAGTTTAGCACACGATCTCATTTATTAGCAAACTAAGATAGTTAACTTTTCTTGTTGTATTAATACTAAGTAGTATTCTGCTTTGCTACAAAGGAAATAATTGGAAAACTAAAAGGAATACTACAGATATTGTGCTATTGTTAATACCAGGACACGAAAGCGAGTCGAGGACTTAATAAATAGGAAATTAAATTTGATTGAAGTTTGGTTCAAAATCTGAATTTACCAACAAAAGTAAGCATTTAGTAATATTCATTTCACCTTCTGTAGTTCAAAATCCGCCCGAGTTCCTATACCGATGTCTTTATCAGGAATACGGCGTTGACGTTTTTGCCATTTCAAGTACACGTGAGTATGTATGTTCATTTTAATTATTTTAAAATAGAGATAATTTTTTAATATTCTTCAGTCTGTCGTATATTTGAATGCTATCCAAACAGCACGCAGTATTTCTATATAGTTTTGCTCGAAATTCGAAATTTGCTGAAACGTTTTTATGTTTCTTTATTTGGAAATAAAAAAATACACAGTAAAAGAAAATGAATTATTACTTTACCGTAAAATCAGTCAATAGATAATTGATGAAATGATGAAAGATGCTTTTTATTGGTTCATGGATGGGATTACACAAGACTTTTCTTTAAACTGTGTACTAGCTACGTTCCTGTTGTAATTGGGAAAAACGTAAAAATGCTTCCTTTTGCTCACGCTTGACCAGTATCAGTGACTCTGAAAAAGCAGCAATTAATTCATTCTACTCACGAATACCCAGTTGACGCTAGTAAGGGGTGTTTCCTTCATTTAGCTAGAGTGTATGGCACCATATTCAGGTATCAGGGCTTTCTAAAAGATATGGCGAAGATAACACATTCTAGACCTTACCTTTCTGCCGTCTAGTGATATTTGATGAGATAAAAACTCTTATTCCAGATGAATCTAATACAGTACCAGCATAATTATTTCCATGATAAAATTCGATAACTCGAAAGATTGCTCAAAGTTTTCCTTAATTTTCTTCAAATTTCTGGTTCGTATTCGATCGAGTAAATCTTTATATACTAAGAACACAAAATCGAGTCGAAGAAGGGCACAAACGTTTTGAAACACATGTTCGAATATTTCATATTGGTATTTATTCAATAACTGATGAGTTTAGTACTTCAAGCACACTGTAGGATAGAGGATATCATTCGCAGAAGATCCATTTCACCAATTCGAAAGGAATACTTTGAACTAGAAAATACCACTCTCTTTAACGATAAAAAGGCCAAACAACTCTAGATTTCTCGCCGAGTATTGCACAAAATGTTGCATTATAAGTGAAATTGGCAAATCATCTGTGGAGTTAATATGACACACAATACAAAGACGAGGGAAAAAAAAAAAAAAAAAAGATGACTTTTTAACGCTACCCAGACTGAACTAAAATTCTGAAAGGTCCAATTGTTAAAAATGCAGAGGGGAAAGGTACTACTCACTGGATATGCCAATGCGTTGTTGGTTAACTTAGCTTTGGGCAAACGCATCAGATCCTAGCACGTATCCAAGCAGCTAGTAATCTACGTACACTACGCAAAGGGAAAAAAAAAAGGCACAGTTCTATACCTCCCGTTTTACTGGGCCGATTGATGAAATTCAACTTCCGTTTTTCATGACACGAAAGCGCGACGTTGGATATGTATTAGATTTATATACAGTATTGTTCTAAAATAGGTATTTTGACACAAAATCGGTCTTTTTTCTGAAATGACATGCCAAGTTTTTCCATATTTTGATTCTATGACTCAAATTACGCCAAACTGCCAAGTTTTGTAAAAATCGCACGAATAGTTTTTAAAAAATAAGCTCTCAAAATTTTAGCTCCTCAATATTAATTGAATTTGATATATATTTAGTAATACCTCTTTTTTATTGATTCCTTCTTCCAGAATTCGAAAATTGGGTTCATTCCAAATAAAATTCCCCGAACTTTTATGATTTATTTTTTAAATTTATATTTTTAAATAATTTTTATAAATTTTTCGAAAAAAAAAAACTTTTATTATAACCTATAAAATTTTACCATCCTCTTAAAGTAGATGTATTTCTAAGCGCACCTGCAAAAAATAGAGTTTTTTATTCACAATTTTCTAGAATATACGTGAGTTTACATTTTGGTGCGTTTTGAAGCTTGGCATATTTGCTTAACAATATGCTAAATTGCTTAAACTGCTGAATAGATTTTGCTCTTAAAGACTGCATATACAGATTTTTCTAAGATTCCCGATTATATATAATTGTACTCGTATTAATCAGTGTCATAAAGCTCACTTTAAAAATTTCATAAAGAAATAGAAAAGTCTCACATTTAACTATCGTTAAGTGAAAAAGGGAGCTTAAGAAGTTATTTTGAAGCAAACGTATTATAATTAACTTCTGGTAAATCAAAATTACATTTCTTTTAAACTCTTCATATTTTTCAGAATCTTCGAATTTTAGTTAAAGGTTCAAAATTTATTTTATCCGTTTTAAAGAAAAGCTTATTTTACAAGAACATATTTTTTTTATCTTTTTATTCTCAATCTTATGAATCAATTTCTTTTCAATTGAAAAAGCATTTTTCAACAATGAATAATCCCTTTTTTTAATACTTCAAAGAATTAGCTTATTATTTACAACCTTATTGTAAAATACACTATTTCTATTTTTACAATTAAATTTATGTATGTTATTTACGTTGTAGAGACATAAGGATTTTTTTGAAAGCAGGAGACGTGAAAAATGAAGATGCCCTCGCCGGGACTCGAACCTCTCGGAAACGTACCTAGTGTGCTGACTATTGCACCACGAAGGCAATACTTTATATACTCCCCATTTTAAAGGTCAATTGGGGATTCGAGGATACAGTCGCCAAATCCTGGTGGTGGAGAATCATCATCCAACACCGTTTTTAGTTCGGGCACTACTGTACAGACATTAGGTATTTTTTTTTAAACAGGAGAGATGAAAATGAGCAAAGCCCTTGTCAGGACTCGAACCACGAACCTCTCGAATACGCGTCGAGTGTGTCAGTCAGGTCACTACAGATGGAGGACAAAATAATACAAACATCTGCGAAATAATGGAAAATCTTTATTAATAGTGCGTTGGACCACCCTTTGAGTGAAGTACAGATTGAATGCAACGCGGGATAGATGCATAAAGGTCATGGACAGTATTTAAAGGAATATTAAGCCATTCCTTCTGCAGAGCGGTCTCAAATTCTGACAGTCCGAATGGAGGTGTAAATCGGGAACGAAGTTTGAATTCCAAATGTGCCCATAAATGTTCAATAATATTCAAGTCTGGAGACTGAGGGGGGCCAAGCAAGATGTTCAATTGCATCGTCATACTCTTCGAACCACTCTTGATGGATAGGGGCGTTGTCGTCTAGAAAAAGCGGTCGCTTCCCAGGGAATACAGTCTGTACAAAAGGAGGGACACGATCCCCTAGAATGCTTAAATAGTGATTGAATATGATCCTCCCATGCAGAATAACAAGTGGCCCAAGACCGCACCAAGATATCGCACCCCATACCATAATGGCGCCACCCCCACACTTCACAATCGGCAAGAGTCAGTCAGGATGAAATGCTTCTTTGGGCGTTCTCCAGGCATAAACGCGTCCGGTTGTCTGAAATAGGGTGAAATGACGATTCATCTGACCATATTACCTGTTGCCACTGCTGTGGGGGCCAGCCTTTGTGATCTCTGCACCACTGGCGTCGTTGAAAGCATTAGTTGCTGTCACCAAGGGTTTACGAATTGCCACTCTGCTATAAATGTTCGCAGAACGAAGTTCCCTTTTGACAGTTTTTGTTGAAACGGGGTCCTGGAGATGACTTTTCATTTCGGATGTTATCTCGGAAACCGATTGCTTGTGCTTTCGGGCTACTATGCGCTTCAAGACCCGTCTATTCCTATCAGCCAGCTTTGACTTTCGGCCACTGTTGTGCTTTGAAGACGTCGTCTTACCCTCTTTCGTGTACGCTGCCATAATGGCTGATACCATACTCCTTGCACACCCCACAAGGTTTGCTGTTTCCGTAACCAATGCTCCACTTATGGGGAGCATTGGTTACGGAAACAGAAAACTTATGTTACTTAAACGAGCTCCAACTATCATTCCTCTTTGGAACTCTGACAGGTCTGACATTTCAATTTCTCACAGACATTTCGATCGAAGCGTGCAACGCAGGTGACTGCTATTGAGAGAATGATACCTTGCTCTTCACGCTCACTAGGTGGCAGACTTCTGTTGCAGGTGGCGCGGCTGTACTGCAGGTGTGAAATACGTCATACATTTTCACAGGTGTTTGCATTGTTTTGTCCTTCATCTGTACATAAGAAGGCGGGAGAAATACCATATATCTTCATGTTTTTGCACATAAATTTATCTTGGATGACGAGCTGGCTTCTCTTCCTTTCCGTTAATACATTGTTTTTTTCTCTATCAGTTTAATCGACACAGCTCCTGAATTTCAAGTCCTTGTTATTGTTGTTGTTGTTGTGACTAACTCGCTTGTCTGATATTAGAGCAAGTCCACGAGAAACATCGTGGCTAGTCCTGCTCGCAGCATATTTGGCGTGTGCCCATGTCGCACAGACACTATGCATTTACAAACATCAATGCCTTTTCCGAGATTTGCACCCTGGCCCTTCTGTATAGTAGTCAGCTTCGTTAACCACTAATTCGGTTGAGCGTCAAGTCCTTCTTGCGACTTTATTATGCTAATAGCAACGTATGTTTGAACTTTTTCGAATAACATTTTACTGAGATAAATTACTACATAAACTACAGAGTTGCCTTGTGTCTTATGAACTGTCCGTGATGGGAAGTATTCTGGCTTCAGCATATATTTAATAAATATATTTATAAAGGCATATATTTAATAAATAGATTTATCAGGGAACCGTTTTAATTTGGGTTTAGTTATGTGAAAGGCGGCTTCACTCAAATCTGTGCGAGTTGATGATAACGCTATTTTATATAAATGATTTCGCTATTGTAGCATTTAACTCCTTTTATAAATTCAATACCTCCAATTGTCAAGCCTTTGATAGCATCTATTCGCAACATTACATCACTGCTTCCTGTTTGATTTCTATAGTTTCAATTTAACTTTCTAACTGTAATCACTTTTTCATTTCATAGCACATAAGAAAGCTTTATCTGCTAATTTCGAAATAGCTTCATTTTTTATGATTTTACATTTTCACAAATAAACAGATGTATAATCTTCTTTTCTCCCCTTTTTCTAGGTTCTCCTGAGAAAATTACTTTAATTGTTTCCTGAAAACTACAAAAGATGGTGACTTTTCCCATTTTCTGCATCAAGAAACTGCCTGCTAATCAAACTGAAAAATGTGTACCCGCCTAAAATATTTTTCAATATATAATTTATGTGAAAAAAGTTTTAAAATAGTTTGTTTGCTAAATCTCCATAATAAAGTTGTCTCAGTTCAGGTATCTTTTTTTAATATGTGCGTAAAATATCAAAAATTTAAAATTAAATACAATTAAGGAAGTCTATTCGTACACGTTTCCTAACCTATAACTTAATTAACAATATTCTCTTTTCATTTTCTTCATGTAATACGTACTAATTTCGTTTACTCAAATGTCACCAGAGTAAGTTCAGTAACAAAGTACTACGACAAATTCAGGAAGGGGCATGATCTATATAACTGTCCTATTAGATCTCGTGACATCCGGAAATTAAGTAGACGTAGCTAATGACTATATAGTAGTTCTATTTTTAATTTGTGTCATCGAAGATTTTTTGAAAGTTTCACTTTTGCTTTGTGGCAAGGATGATTTACCTTAGATTAATGGTATTTAAAATTTATGGCAGAACGACCCCTTTAAAAATGCAAACGACCTCCCCCCCAAAAAAAGAAAAACAATTTCGCAACCCCAATTAGAGTACTGACCCTTACTTATACAGGTATACCATCAATTCATATACTTCAGGATTTTTATCCACCTTACGCCTCCACTATAAATTTTCGTGACTCCAAATGGGATCATGGCTCGCAGCGTGAATACCACTGCCTTAGATCATGCCTTTGAGGAAGATGACACCATTCCTTAACATTAATTAATTATTTTTCCTTTATTAGTATTAATGAAAATTAATCTCGAAACTCTATTTAGACCGTTTCACTTTTAAGTTCAATTCACCATTCAAATTATTGCCGCCAAACGTTATCGTCCTGCGTTACTTAAAAAAACATTAAATAACGGCGAGTCTGCGCACACTATCTACCAAAAAGTATTTGAACACCCATGCAAATGCTGATGTCTGCGTTCTGATATACGTCACTCTGACCGTCGTTAAAAAACATATAGAAAAAAAACATTGGTATTAGTGGCATGCAAGATGCCACGAAGTCCTAAATTATCTAATTTCGAGAAAGGTGTAAGCGTAGGGTATCACAGAAATGGCCTCTTAAAAGGCATATCTAGCAAGCTGATCGACAATGGCCTTTGACCCAAAATCAACAATGGCCTTTGATTCAGAAGTGGAAGGTGGAGGGAGTTTGGCGGAATGTGCCCTGAATTGTCAAACCCACGAAAATGAGAGATATTGATACGATGTCCAGAGAAATTCGGAAGAACCGCACCCAGCCGATGGCCCACATATTCCAGAAGCTTTAACAGGCATCCAGGAGTGTTCTTTCAATAAATACCACTCATAAAAAAGCACATCTGCTTAGTTTTCATGGTAGTGCTGCCTCCCATAAGACTTTGAACAGAAAGTCCAGCAGGGCTGCTCGATTAATGTAATCCAGGTGTAATCGAAAGTGAAGGATAGATCAGTGAAAACGAATTTCTCTGGAGTAACGAACCAAGGGTGGCTGGCACTGCTTTTGCACGTCAGCTCTTGCATTACTTCAGAAGAAGAGCTATCAAACTCTATGCAAAATCTTCATTATTCCGAAGTGGCTTCCTGTTCGACTGCTATGTAATTTTTTAGGGACGCCCGGGATCTTCGAAGTATCAACTGCCATTGGAATGCATTTGGAAGTTCAAGAAAGTATTGAATTTCTTCAGAAAATTTGATCCGAGTATGTGAAGGTCTTTAATATCTGCCACACATGCTGTGTGATGGTAAGTAGTACTTCTTTCAGGCGTTATAACAACGTTTAACTTTCCATCAATGTTGATTTTATCACCGGACACAGTCTGGATAGTAACATAAGGCGGCGCCCGGATGATTTTATCTTCCAATCTTTTTGGATGAGGGTAACATAGGCTCCGGTATCGATGGCCAAACTGCAAGGAAATCCATTTATATGTCCCGTGATAAAGAATCCATTATTGCGCCATTTATTTCAGAAATCGGATGCGTTTTATAATAGGGCTTTTCAATATCTAGCAGTCTCAGACCCGCGGCTTAACTCCCGTGCCTTCAGATTTTCTACAGTTTCCACGTATGTAACCTTCCCCACCGATTTTCAGCACTTTAGTATTGGTTTGTCGTCTCTCATATTTCTCGTTGAGGCTTTAAATTGCCAAGTTAAACCGTCTAGACGAGAAGTTAACTGACTCACTGGCTCCTGGACATGAGGACCTCTGATACGGTGGCATAAATACGGTGACTGAAATTCAAAACTACTTTAAATCAGAACAAGGAAATTTTGTTTTCAGGTGGTTGCTGAAAGAGAGAGAGCAATTAAGTTCTCTTTATCTTGAAATGTAAAGTCCTCGGGAGCCTTGAGAATGAAAAGGATCTTCGATCAACGTAAATTTCTATACGTTATCTTCTGCAAAGTATTTCACGAACCAGTCAGTGAGAGTCAAAAGCTCAGTGAGAGAAAAGTAGGCTTGAGCACCACTGTCATTCATTTTTCTTTACCACAACTGCAGCTTTTTCCTAAGCGCTAAAATCTTTTCTTCATGTTTCAAGATGTCCATACATTAGATACAGATTAAAGACATTTAGTCCGTCAAATATGCTAGTTTCACCAAAAGTCTGGTTCGCAAAATAGTTAGAGATCGCATGACGTCGTTCTTACAGAAAATGTGAATTTCATGATGCAGCTCAAATGCACGAGACAGGATGTTGCCACGCGAAAGCTTTTATGAGCTGCTAGTATAGCTGCTGTGTTCAGCTTCCATGGCCACGCAGATATTTTGAAAAAATTTGCTTTCAGGATTCTACTTTTTATGTAGTTTACTACGTGTATGACACACTCGAATATCAAATTCAGCTGAGGACAATGTAAGCTGTGATAAGGTGGCATAAAGGTTCTTTGTCAAGGGTGAGTGATTTCTGGCTGCAATAATTTTCATATCATTGATGAAATCCTGTGCCTTTGTTAATGATCCCGGTTGCAGCCTGGAAGGTCACTCCAGTGGACAAAGAGATAAGTCTTTTCACCAGGGTCAGGAGATGGACACTTTGTTATGTATGAGGGAAAGAATCTCCTCCCCCCAAGAGTTCAGCGCAAGTAAACACAGAAAGATATATAAGGTGGTTTCCTGAGAAAAGAGGAGAACTTTCCTCTTTGGAGCTATGGGCATGTTGGCCTGCTAGAACGATCATTCCTCGTGTATAATGCGTTACAGCATTTTTCCTGTAACAAAATTCTGAAATTACGGGACTGAATATATCCAAGTCCCATACTGTCAAGATATGCAATTATTAAGGTTTTCATCTTTTTAAAATCACTGTTATTGTTAAAATTAGAGTTAGAAGTTCATTTTAACCTTGTGTCACAACCCAGGGCTTGCGTAGTGGTTTCGGCCACTACACCACAAAGCACTTCCCTGTAGATAATTCAATATGTCCACACAACGTGTGCTCCTTTGCTGAAAGTAAGGGCTTGCAGTCCTTTATTGTGACCAGGCATAATTCTAGCACCATTAGTGTGTAAACCAAATGCACTTTTCCCAATTTAAATCAATTTCCTTAATAAACTTCTCAAGACTTTCAAACAAGTCTTGAGCCCTTGCGCTTCCGATGATGCTCTTATAGAACAGAAGATCTTCAAGAATAATATTACCTTCTAGGACAACATATATTAAGTATAAGATTTGCAGTTTTGATGCTGTCAGTAGCCTCATCTATTTGCAGACTGAATTCGTTTCCTTTCATTTTTACTTTACACTTTTACATCAACTGATCATTGAGATCCTGGGCTACATATTGAATTCTTAGACTAAAAGAGTTTTTTTATACATGTAGCCTAGAAATGGGTTTTCTTGCTTATTTCTCTATCATAATATTAACCATCTCGGTTGGATAAGCTCTTCTGTGAGAGTGTGCGGTTTTTTGAAGTTTGCCGTTCTTTAAGCTGCCTTGAATGACGCTAGCTGTGTATTACTCGGAAGTAACACTTGTTTAGTGAAAACATTGCTTTGGTTCTGTAAATCTTGCAACTTCCTACTAAAAAGAGGGGAAAAAAAAAAAAAAAAAAAACCCACATTTGGCGACCACGTTAGGGTAGACGGAATCGAGATGTCTGTTTAGCTTGCTTGACAGCGTACTTTCTAACTCAAACATTTTTCAAACCGACAAGCCATCTGCCATCGTTGCCTTTCCTCGCTGTACTGAAGTATTCCTTGTTGTAGTCACGATATTTTCGCTTCTTTTCTCTTATGGCCGATGTCGATGCCTTGCCCTCACTCTGACTTGAAATATTATTGCTGCTGTTTGCTTGGTTAGTAAAAATATTTTCATTTTGTAAAATATCGTTAAGGATGGCAGCTGTGAAAGGCTCTAGTGCAGAATTGGGTGCCCCTTCGATTAGCGACAATTTTTTTTTTTTTAAATTAAATCACTTCTGGTTACCATGATGGTTTTAGCTTCCTGATTTTATTTAAATGAAAATAGATTGATGTGTACATGGAAATATTTAAGGCAGTGCGCAATGCCTAATTTGTGCAATTCTAGGCTTTTTTTTGAGTGAAAACAGATCGATGTGTACATGGACACAGAGTTTGTTCAATTCTTTGATTTCTTATTTTGGTTTTGTGTAGCGTTCATTTTGAAATTTGTGCCTTCCTGCCGCCGATCTTGGCGTCAAAAAAGAATCGCCAAGAAACAAGGGGCACCCAATTGTAAACTTTTACCCTGTGAAATATCATTATGGTCTACTACTTGTAATATTTTGTCGAGATCATGAGTGTTTTCCTAGACATATAAGAATGTACTACAGTAGAAGATACATATAGCAGTCTAGTGACAGGAAGCAACAGGTGCAAAAAATGTACGAGAATAATCGAATACAAATCTGGCGCATAAAAACATAGAATTATTAAAAATCAGAAGAACTGAGTTATAGAATAAAAATGGCTTTAGCAAAAGAAACGGAGAACTAGAATGACTTTAGATTGAAAGGAGTAATAAAATGCTAAAAATAATATTTAAATTAAGTTGCATGAACAACTGTAATAAAATTAGTGAGAAAAACTTAAGAATTATTATTTTAAGAAATAGAATGAAAATGAATGAAAAATAT